GGGGTGGGTCGGGGGGCGGGCTGGGGTGCAGGGCTCTGTTGGGGCTTTCCCGGGGCGCGGGCGGGGGTGGGCAGGGTGCGGGGCTCCGCGGGGCTTTCCTGAGGCGCGGACCCCGGGGCGGGGCCAGGTTTTAAATAGGCGTGATCCGCACCTCGTGCTCCCCGGGAGGCCCCTGAGCTGGCCCTTCAGATGGGAACCCCCGCACCCGCACCCGAGGGAAGAGGCGCGATGGACGCAGAGGCCCTGCGGATTCGTCCGTGTCCACGCCTGGGTGGGATACCAGCACCCACCCCAGACCCAGCTCTATAGGCTGGAGGAAAACATGCCCAGAGAGGCTTAGCGACTCCCCAAGGTCACACGGAGTACAGTTGTCTCCCTCCAAAGGAAGGCCTTGCGCTCTGCCTTCCTGGACTCCCTCCTTGCTACATCGTGTGCTGGAGTCACGCCTGGCCCTGCCCCCTCCCCTCCAGGGGTGAACTGAAATCTGGCTGAGGAGTGCCCATGACACCATCCCGCATCCCGGACAGCCAGAGGGGGTGTGGGGTGGAGGCCCAGGGAGGAGGGGGCGGTGGTCCCAGTGGCACAGATTTGTATATTTTCCCCATTTCTGGCCCTGTTTGATGGCAGAAATAAGTTGGGCTTGTTGAGAATCATCCAGGTGATAAGATAAATTAAAAAAACAAGAAAAGCAGAAATAGAGTATTTCCTGGAGGCTCACCCTCAAACAGTAATACAGTCCACTAGTACCCGCTCTCCCTGCGGACTTTTCCAGAGAGGGGCTGGCTCACACCCTGTTCTGCTGCATGGATGTGCCACGTGTATTTTTTTTTAACTGATCCTTTGTTGTTGAGCATTCGGGTTATTTCCAAATTTTAGCTATTAAAACAGTAAATTGTTTTTTTAAAATTTTTTAATTAAAAGATTTTTATTTATTTATTTGAGAGAGAGAGAAAGGGAACACATGCGAGAGCAAGGGGAGGGGCAGAGGCAGGGGGAGACTCTCAAGTAGATGCCCTGCTGAATACAGGACTCAATCCCACAACCCTGAGATCAGACCTGAGCCAAAATCAAGAGTGGGCTGCCCAACCTGACTGAGCCTGCCAGGTGCCCCCAGTAAATTGTTTTTTTGGTTTTTTTTTGTTTAAGATTTTATTTATTTATTTGACAGAGAGAGACACAGTGAGAGAGGGAACACAAGCACGGGGAGCAGCAGAGGGAGAGGGAGAAGCAGGCTTCCCGCAGAGCAGGGAGCCCGATGTGGGGCTCGATCCCAGGACCCTGGAACCATGACCTGAGTGGAAGGCAGACGCTTAACGACTGAGCCAACCCAGGTGCCTGCCCCCCCACCAGTAAATTGTTTTTAAAAGTATCCTATAATTCCCTTTTGCTATCAAAATACAACGAGTAGAACAATGGAGAAAGCATGCTCGGGAAAACCACATCCATCACCCTGCTGGCACTCTGGTGTCCTTCCCCACGTGGGTCCGTTCTGCATATTTTCGCATTGCGTGTGTGTGCACAATTGTGTGACCACTTACAGCACATTTTCAGCATTTTCCTGCTGTAAAGGACCTAGGCTTTGGATCCAGGCAGAGCCAAAAAACGGTGACTCCTGTTGCTAACTCGGAGCAATCCACGTAACCATGTTTTATCAATTGAGATGTAATGTGGTTTGCTCAGGAATCTCCTTCATGGACATTAAGGCTATCTCGCACATGTGTGCTTGTTTTTTTATTTTTTTATTTTTTGACAGAAAGAGACAGAGAGGGAACACAAGCAGGGGGAGTGGGAGAGGGAGAAGCAGGCTTCCGGCAGAGCAGGGAGCCCGATGCGGGGCTCGATTCCAGGACCCTGGGATCATGACGTGAGCCGAAGGCAGACACTTAACCGACTGAGCCACCCAGGCACCCCCACATGTGTGCTTTTAAAATTAGTAATTCAGTGACCATCTTTGTCCTTAGAGGATGATTTCCTTCAGCAAGCATGTTTCTCCAGTCCTCAGGCCTCTTTTAAACACCACCCCCTGCACCCCCACTGGGTGGCTTGGGCCTTCTCTCCTGCCACCTGGGTCTGCCCCATATGGGCTGCTTGGGGACCTGGCCTCTGGAGCAGAGCGGGGCTCTCCTCTTCCCGGCCCGTTCCGGTGCCTGACCCAGCATAGGCACACAGCGGTGCCAGGAGGACCCTAGTCGATTTGAATTCAGAGCCCTCCCCTCTCCCTTAGCTTCTCCCAGTCCCCATCAGGGAAGTCTTTGCTCAGAAGCAGCAGAAAGCACTGGTCTGGGAGTCGTGACACCTGGATCTGCTTCCCCTCTCCGGCCAGGCAGGACACACCCACAGCAGGGGCTGGGTCCCTCATTTCCCCGCCCCCCAGCTCCAATCCCTCCCTGAGGGAGGCCCCAAGGAGGGTGGGTTCTTTAGAGGAAGGGCCCCTAGTTGAACCACTCAAGCTGCCACTGGTCTGGGCCTGCACTGGGGAAGGTGGCAACTCTGGGGTTTGGGAGCTACCACCCAGGTCAGAAGGTAAATTCCCGCAGAGCTGCCAGGGTTGGGGAGGGGCTGGGCAGAGACCACCCCCAACTCGCAGGCTCCTGCACGGTCTCCATCCTTGGCTCCTCCAGGGCACCGGAGCTTAGCAGAGGGCCTGTGCACAGTCTGCCCCATACAGGGGAGGAGCCTGGGGACCCGGTCTCAGGCTGCTGTGACCACCTTTGCCAACCTCTGGGACTTCTCGAGAACCCTGCCTTCTCTGAGCTGTAGGATGGCTGTAACCTGGTGCCCCCCTCCCGGGCTGCCGGTGGGGACAGGGCAGCTGGGCAGGCCTTGATGGAGCTCCTGCAGTCTGACAAAGGTCCCTCCAGACCAGGCTTCCAAGGGCCCAAGAAACTGGCTGAGCTGCATTCCAGACCTGCTGGCACAAGGACAAAGGTCTCAGAGGGGGGCTGTGGTGCTGAACCTGACTTTCTAGCCCCAGTCATCTCAAGAGGGAAGGTAAGGGGGTGGGAGGAGATGCCCAGACCCAGGCCCTACTGTCTCCTCTGGTCCCTATCTTCCCTGGTGGCCTTCTGCCTCCCAGTGTTACAGAGGAGAAAACAGAGCCTCGGGGAGTCACTGGCCAGGGTTACCTCTGGGGCATCTCCTGGCCCCGGCTCCTGCTATGTCTGGAGGGCGCCCGAGGAGAGAGGACCACTTCCCTCGTCTCCTCCTTCCCACAGATGGGCCGGCCAGAGCCCCCAGGGGAGAAGGTTTCTGACACCCAGCTGTCTGGCGCCCCTGCCGCCCTCCACCATGCCCTTGGCCATGCCATCCCTGGCCCCGAGGACTCGGACCTGGTGCCGTCTGTGACCCTGGCTGCAGCCCTGGTCCTGCTGTTCCTCCTGCTCTTGGCCCGGCTGGTGTGGGACAGGCCCCTCCGAGGTTCCTGCTAACATGGCTTCCCAGGCAGAGGATGGGGTATCCCTTGGCTGGGCCTGGCACAAGTCAGGAGTGGCAATGGGAGCAGAGCCAGTGACAGGGGTTGGGGGGTAGGGGTTGGAGGGTTGGAGGATAAGAGTGTGGGAGGTGGCTGGGCCTCCCAGCCACACCCTGGGCCAAACCCTGTGACCTCTGTTTATGGCACTGCCCAGGGGACCCCAGGAAGTCCCCAAGGCCCCCCCGCCCTGCTGGAGGCAGGAACCCAGACGAGCCCTGGCCTCTGCTGTCCAGCGCCACAGCTGGAGCATCATGCCTCCAGATGGCCGCGGAGGGTGGGCTAAGAGCCCGGGGCAGCCAAAAGTGCTCAGGTAGGCAGGGCTCAAATCCACTTCATGCCGGTTTCCTGCAGGGTGGGGGTCCCCATCTTTGCATGACCATCCTGGGTGCTGCAAAGAAAGCCAGGTGACCCCTGGGCATCTGTGGGATGAAGCAAAGGGAGTCGGGAAGTGAGAGTTCCAGCCCAGGCTCTGTCCATGACGGGCTGGGACAGTGGATGACGTCCTTCTCCATTCTGGGCCTCAGCTTCCTCAGGCATCAAGTGAGGATGGGCGTACCTATTTCTGTGCATTGTTTTGAGGCTGACCAGTGGGTAGGCACTCTGTGGTCACCTCTGCAGCCCACACTCTGCCTTTGGCCAGGGACCCTCGGAGGAAGCCCCCCTCCCCGGAGGTGGAGGCCACAGGAGCAAGGATGCACTGGTCTTGGCCGCCACCTGGTGGCTAAAGTAGGAATGGCATCATCTGTCGTTCGATCCCCTTGGGCTCCTCCTGGCAGAGGAGGGGAACGTGTTTTATTTTTTTAAGTGGAAGCATTTGAGATTGTGGATAAGCACAAGTCTTGTTACTTAGAGAGAACTTCTTTTACCACGTGCTGTTTGTTTTTGTTCTCTTCGTTTCTGCGTCTATAATTTTACCAAAAAAAAAAAAAATCAGGAAGGGGGTGGAGGGGGCAGGTGAGGTGGAGGGGGGTGGTGACGGTCAAGCCCAGGGTCGTGGATGTCCTCCTGCCCCATGGGGGCCCTGTTTCGGAGCCTGACAAAGGAAGACATGCATTTCTGAGGATGGGAGGGGCGTGGGACATTCAGGTTGGGACTGGCGGTCCTCATAGAACGAATGTTTACCAAGACATCATGTGCCAGACATGGGGAGATGAGTTGGGCCCCCAGAGAGCTCAGGGTG